ACTGACCAATCCTATAATGTACTCACTTTTTGAGTACACAAAAACTTTGTTTTTCCTTTAGAAATCAATAAGAAGATGATCTGTAGGAAAATCATCCTGATTCCGATAGATATTTATTTACAATATCACTTGAAAGTGCAGTTGCTTTTACATTAACAAAAATCTTTGATTCGATACTTGTTAGTAGTATAATGGCATCAACTATTGGTAGACTTAGCGAAATTAAATTTAATGTTCAACTTGATGATTCACAAATCTTAATTTATTATTTAAAAATAAATAAATTTATTTTATATAGCTATAAAAATATTTCGGATCAATTCTAATATGTATTGATGATCACTTACAATTACAAATAGTTGTAAAAAATAGAAAAACATTGAGAATATAATGATGGCATAATTATAGATGATGATGATTGAAATGAAAGAATAAGTCGATCGAAATGAATTAAATATAATTAAATTAATTTAGATACTTATTGTAGAGTATTTCGATTACAAATATTTGAAATATTTATTAGATGAAGAAAAAATAGCAATAGAATTTTTAAAATCTCGTTTTTTGTTATGCAAATATTTTTCAATAAAAAAAGTGAAACATTTTATAATGTTTATTTAACTTGTTTTTAGAAGAAAGTTTCACAAAAAGTTGATTGCTATCGTTAAATATAAATATCTCCATCTCTTCATTCTCTAGTTTTAATGTTAAATATCTCGATTTTATTTTTGTTTTTTTTTTGTGAATATGAGTAGTTTATAAATAATACAATAAAAGAGATTATTCATTTATAATTTTCATTGATGCTTTTAGGACAATTTAAATGTAAGCAATTATAACGGTCTTCTTATAACAAAAGAATACTGAAAATGAATAGGAAATGTTCATCATACCTGTAAATTAGTCGCGAAGCCAGAAAAAATTTATCGGGGAGAGCTCACATTCGACTTAAAGTCTGACTCCATCGATCACGACTGACAAGCTGCCGATGGCATAGTATTCGAAATAATCTTTCGAATTTCACTCCTTTGGCTGTATTGTGAGGTTTGGTAGTTCCAAAAATTACCTGCAATCATGATTTCAGTTTCGATTTCGATTTGATGGCTATAGTGTCGGATGAAACTGGAATCATTAAATCATTAAATAGATGCAAAGATTTTGTTTGTATTTCTAGAGATTTCAACTCTTTTATTTTTGAAATTAAATATAATGCATACAGTTGATTATTCAAATAAGATAATTTTATATGAGCGAATTGCATATGTATTGTACCGTTTGCAGGAAAAAAATGGTCAAAAAAATTTTCAATTTTAGAAACGTTAAGTAGCTTCTGATAAATAATTTTGCATTGTTGTTTCTTCATTGAATTTTTCATCTTTAGACAAAGATTATGTATTTAAAAGGATGAGTTTTATACTTTATAATATAGTGCGTTGATGAGTTGTTTTTTTCCATGATTATGTTTTAATGATAACATATTAAAGAGAGTAAAAATTACTTCTATTTTTCAACTTTTATTCCTAATAGAACTACTATGTTCTTAGTATCATCAGCTATTTAGCTAATAAATAAAAACTTGGTATATTAAGTCGTTCGCGATATATATATGAAAATTTGCACTGTCAACCTGTTCACTCTTTTCGATAAAAGAAATGGTTTTATAATTAACGGATGACAAAAATAACTTCAAGTACGTTACCGTATTAGAACAACTATTTATCTGAAAGAGTGTGTGGCTATGGGTGTGAAGTGTGAATGCGAAAGTGATCCACATCACAAAGCCATCTGTACCCACATTCAACACCCATACCCATACTTTTTTCAAGGGCTATCTGATGGTCATACCTGTAACTTTTTAAATGGTCCTTGAGCAAGATACCTGTGACTTTGAAAGTGCTATCCGATTGTCACACGTACAAATTTTAAAGGGCTATCTAGGCATACTATCTGTAACTTTTTAGGCGCCACCTGCACAAGATTCTTGTCGCTTTTTGAGTCCTACGTTGGCAAGATGTCAGTTGCTTTGATAAGTCTACTTGTGAAATGGATTGTGTTACAGGTTGGACACAAAACGTTTGGACTGAAAGAGCTGCCCTGTGGATTTTTTATGATGCATTGCCCATCATGTACCGATAATGGACAAAAAGTATTATATGACTCTCACGAGGGACCATATCCAACTGTCAAACCACTTTTGGACCAGGCATGTGCGTAAACGATTGACCTCAGTGAGTTATCAAATGCCCTAGAATGGTTTGATTTTCCAGCCTTCTGTTGTCGAGTTATGGATCTTTTACTTGATTTTGGCTTATGGACATAAGATTCTCCTGAATATCTGAATAATCGAATTTCAAACTGAAATTTTGCCCATAGATAGGCCTTATAAGCAGTAGAAACTTCTCAAATTTTGAGCTAGAATGAACGCATCTGTATCGATATATCAGCTTGTCATGAAAATGTCTCTATTTTGAAACACAGCTCAAAACAAGCGTTTCTTTAAAATGTGAATATCTTGATAAGAATGTGTTCGTTCTGGCTCAAACTTTGGAAAATTTCTAGTGCTTATAAGGCCTATCTATGGGCGAAATGTCAGTTTGACATTCGATCATTCAGGTACTCAGAAGAAACTTAGGCTCATAAGCCAAAATCAAGTAAAAGCTCATAACTCGACAATAGAAGAGTAGAAAACCAAACCATTCTAGGGCATTTAATAACTCATTGAGCTCTACCGCTTACGAACAAGCCCGGTTCAAAAGCGATTTGACAGTTGAATATGTTCCCTCTTCAGTATCCTTTGAGACAAAAATAGAAATTTTTATGAGAGATATTACAAAGTAGTAACCGCGTCCAGGTGAATGAAGATGTGGTTGCGACTGCGGATATGGATCTTTTCTGTACACACGTCCTCATTATACATTTTCTCGGCAGGTTTAAAGTAGGTTAATGTAACAGAGAAACTTACGTGATATCGAGAGTCAAAGGAGCAATCTCAGCTCACCTTATGAACAAGCTGAATATTTCGCCTCAATCCTTAGACAGATCCTGACAATAAAGGACGTGACGCCACCTACGGCTACAAAAGTTATACGCGTATTGTTTTCAAGTAAGACTGGAAGAGTTACATCTATGACGCCTACATAAGCACTGCAAAACTCTAGGCATAATCACCAGACAGACCTTACAAACTTGTAGATATGAAGCCAAAGTAATCCTACACATGGTATACCTAAGATGTTCAAGAGAAAGCTTAGGCAGTTATAGACACCGATGTAGTATATTTTTAAGCCCCGCCCCCCCCCCCCCCTCCTCGTCCTAAAAAAAGTCAGTTTTCGTCAGAATCATCGAAATTGAGACAAATACATGGGAAAACAGCCCATGATCTGCTCTTTCATAACTGATAAAAAGTTTTTCTCAATAACTCATTGTTGTCCAAAATTTTCGAAGATTTTCGTCCCCCCCTATTCGAAAAATCAGCTATTATTTGAAAAATCAAAAACTGTTTTCCGTTTTTTCTCAGTTTTCACTTTCTTCAAAGCGCATCCCAAATTTCTCCTTCCCAGTTCGTACAATGTATTAATTTGTTTTTGCTTGAAAGAGCATCTCAAGGCGCAGTGTACATGGAGGCTATTTTTTTAAATAAAGCCTTTGTTTGGTCAATATACAGCCAGTTATATAATTTGGTTACCATTTTCTCATACTTTTTTCAGTCATTGAGCTTGTGGCTTCTTTTTTGCGTTTAAAAAAGGACTATTTGAAAAAATGACCTCCGTTTGCTCTATGTCTTGAGATGCTCTTTCCAACAAAAAAAATATTAATAGATTGAACGAACTAAGACCGAAAAATTTGGGATGCTAAATGAGTCATTTTTGACCCTTGTGTGGTTCATATCTTCTTGAAACCTGAAGATTTTGGGCTGAAAATTTTATGATAGTCTCCTCTTTCCAGCTTCAACATATCCTGAAGGTTTTATATAATTTGAATCTTCCTGGGCTGAGATCGATTTTTGAGGGAGGAGGGGGGAGCTTAAAGGGACTTAATTAATAATAAATATGGACTACCTTTCTTTAACCATAATTACTAACAACGGAGGTGTTTGTATTGTCCGTCGAAAAAGCGGCGCATATGTGGGTCAAATGAAAGCTCTCATCATCAAACTAACAAGGTTAAAATATTAGCCCCCTTGACTTGTCTAGAAGGAGATATTTAAATTTTAAATTTAGGTATAGAAATGAATCAGGAAAGATTTTCTTCACTATTATAAGGACAAAACATGACGTTGTTCGGGCCGTATGAAAGAGAGTCCCTACAAACCCCATAATCGCCCCGAACAATACTATGTTTTGTCCGTATAATAGTGGAGAAAATCTTTCCTGATTCATTTTCATACCTAAATTTAAAATTTAAATATCTCCCTCTAAAAAATCCAAGGGGAGCTTATATTTTAACTTTGTTAGTTTGATGGTGAAAGCTTTCATTTGACCCGAATATGTGCCGCTTTTTCGACGGACAATACAAACACCTTCATTGTGAGTGTCATCATCATATCTAATACTCTGTTATAGAGATTCTCAATCGACAATAAATTGTTAAAGAGTGACGAATTATGTGCATTTGATGTAACTAGAGGAATACTTCAATGGTTAATCACTCTCAACGAAATAAAGATGAAATCAATGTAAATATTTGTATTCTAAATTGTCACGACTAGTCTGCAAATGAGCTTCATTTTTAATTAGAACGAGAAAATTACAGTTCATTAATGTATATCTTAGTTTTAATTTAACATAAAATAAATAAAATAATTATTAAAAATGAATTTTTATTACAATAATATTATTTATTGATAGAATCAATTCATAATTAATTAGTTTACTGACAAAAATAAATAAATATTGTTGTATTCATTGTTATTCGATTTATCTATGTAGGCGATTTATTTTATGATAAAATATTTAATTAACTTTAATTTATTCAAAGAAAAACAAAATAATGAAATCTATTTAATCATATTTATGTTCATTAGTCAAAGAAGAAAGTTGTTGTTTAACAGCATCTGTAATAAGAATAATCGCTTGATCAATTTCATCATCAGTTGTCATATAACTTGTACTTAATCGAATTGTACTTGTTGATAATTTATATGAAAGACCTTTGAATGAAAAGAAAAAAGAAAAAAGAAAGAAATACAATAAAGTTATATAAAAACGATATTTTGAAATATATTTAATGACATAAAATATGATTCATTCGATAATATATTCAATAGAAAAATAATAGTTTGGATAAATCTAAATTATTTAAATAAAACTTTATTATTCTATTCAATCAAATGAATCTATGAACAAAAATTTATTTTATGTTTACATATGTTACACAAGAAATTTAAATTACGAAAAATTTCTAATTTTTCTAGAACAACTTCATATTTTAGTTTCTCCTATGAGAAAAAAAAAAGAAAATATCTTTTGTATTCGCTTGAATCGATAGAAAATTAGAACGAAATAAATATTTAAACAAAACTTGCGCATAATATAGACGCACTTAAGTAGAAATTCTGGTATCGATTTTTTATGAGCATGAAATGTTAAGATTCATCGTATTATATAATATTATAATTATATTGGTTGATCGAAATGATTAGACAGCAGATATTAGATCAATCCCATATCTGTCAAAAAAATGCTCAACTCAAATATTGACTTTCTAAGAATATAAAAACAATAAAAATAGTATTTACTTAATTAGATTTACAATCAATATATTACTCGGAACAGATTATACATATTAATTCTAACTATTTTAACTAATATTGAATCAATCATCGTCAAATTATCAAATAATATCTATATCTATCAGTTGTTAACAATAATATCAAGAATTTTCTGACGATTTCAATTATTTCATCTATTTAATTCATTGAGATTTAATTTTTCTAATTAACGAAATGAAGATTATTAATAACTCGTACAAAAGTACGTATCTATTTTGATAGTTGTTCAACAAAATAGTCTTGTAGAACATTTAAAATAGAATATTATACTAAATGTTATTATTTATTAAAAATAAAACAATATTAAAATGTCTCGTTCAAACTTTCGTATATTTGAGATAGAAAAATAAAAAATTTTCGACTATGTTTTGACGTATAATGGACATTTTTCTTAAGAAAAAACTTCAAATATTAAGTTTTCCTTAAGAATAAATCGAATTAAAATAAAAATTTATTCGTTAATCTAAGAATATAGAAAAACTTTGCTGGATTTGAATTTCTCATCGAACATATATATTTATCTAAATTTAATTTCAATATATTGCTTTTATAATTCTAATATCTCATATAGAATAAAAACAACTAAAAAAAACTATAATATTAAATTAAAATATTCAATGTTATGAATTCGATTTCGAAAAAAAAAAAAAAAAGAAATTACCAATAGCTTGAAGTGTTGTTGATATAGATTGATGTTGATTATCTTCATGACAAGCACTACCTGTTGAAAATGCTAATTGATTACTTAATTGATTAACTA